GCTCCTCTTGTAAATTGAGTCATCTTTTCTGTACTTTTCTTTGATATTGTGTCATAGCTAGATAGCTGCATACACAATTAAAACCTGATGCAAAAAAAAAGTACAAGTGGAAGCGACACGTAGCCTAAGCCACAGCATATACGATTGTGGCGCCATCTAGGCATAGAAAACCCCCAATAACCTCCTTGTGCCCACGCCATACAGCCACTCATATATCCAATAGGTAGCTTAAAGCGCTACCATATTAACTATTCCAATCTCTTAAATACACACAAGATCGTGTCATGAACCTAGACAAAATGGAGGGCCCGCACGTCCATAACATTCCATGTCTTCATTTCCAATAAAAGCACACCCAGAGCCTAGATCTAGCCAAAGCAAAATATGTGTGTGCGAATTTTCGTCGCGATGGCAATGGCGAGGAGTGGCGTTGGCAAGTATACTGTTGAAGATCCGACCTGCAGAGATTTCACAACTGAACAACCCAGCGAATTCAATTATTTACATCACAAAAAGCATCATACCTGTTTGATTTTCGTATGAAGATGAATGATAGGCTTCAATATGTCAAATTTTTCTGGAAGTCATTTTATAATCTTATCTTGCGGCCCTCTGTAATGATCTCACCAACTACTGAGGTACTATCAAATCTCGAATTTATTCTCAAAATTCAAGATAAATTTGCCACTGCTCCCTCCGCAGCTCTCGCGCGCTGTGAAGTTATGGTCGAAACACTGACCTTGTATTCGTCTAAACCTCGGCACGGGGCACCATCGCTAGCAAAGACGAATTCTTCACCTTCTAGTGGTGCCGGTGTAATCGCTCAGTATGCTCTGCATGTCTAGGATAGCCAAGAAGAATAGTATCCAAATCGAAGTCGAAAGCAACCTCAAGCATATCTAAAATCAAAGATTTTTCGACAATGTCGATCCAGTCTTTCTCAAGAGAGTCCTCTACCTTAACAGCACCACATACCACCTCGCCTCGACGACCGATAAAGGCGTTACTCCAATTGCAATCGGGAATTTGCCCCATCAAAAATCTGCCATCTCCCACTATGCAGTAACGATGCCGTGTATACCCGCGAGGAGGAAACCAAGTCATGATATACAAAGCTCGGGTCTTGGTTTATGGGGAACCTTTACTCTTATGAGGGATTCACGTATTGAGGGAGGACAAACAGTTGAGACGTGGGACTAGCGAGTGAAGAGATTAGTTATGTGCATGACGGAACTTGGATTTTTCGAGTGCTTTCGAGTGTGGAGTACTTGTGGCCGCCAAGGCTAAGATTCGGATATTGCCACCGATATCTTGAAAACAGACAACGATGGAAGATGTTGTAGTCCGTCTCCTGGTCGTCATCTCCCCGGATTAAAGTCTAGGTAGCCTGGACACATACCTCAGCCTAGAAAGGGAGGACTGTGAGGCGACATCCTGCGCGCTGGCGATATACAAGATGGCAAAGGCATATTAGGGTAGCCCAAAGTTTTTCCTGTTTTCCCTTTGGTGGATAGCGACAGTTGAGGGAAGGGCCAGAGTCCCTAGCACCAGGTCTCGAGTGGTATCAGCAAACGCACCCACTTCATGAGTAGTCCAAATGTCAAACTGAGTCATCTTCGTATGTAGTCGTCGGGGAAGGACTAGCCTTCTCCGGTTCGTTCAATATGAGTGCTGGACTCGTACTCGCTATGAACTAATAATCATCCATCCATAGTCATTAGCAACTGGAACTACGACGACTTACCACTAATAAAATACCTAGGGAATTTTGCCGGCACTTCAACTAGAGTTTTCGACAGATGCAGAAAAATCGGTGCCTCGGTCTTGACCCATTCGATATGTAAAAATGGGAGCGTTATTTAGGGAGTGCGATAAAAGATGTGAGATTCTTGCGACATATGACTTAAGAGGGATTAGCACTTGAGTTGATAGATCAGATGAGAAAGTGGCAAAGCTGTATTATTGATAAAACAGTGGTACATCTCAGTGTGTAAGTATCACTGAGTTCCCTTGCCAGATATTACCAAGTGATTACGTATCATTCTAATAGAGTTCCTTACTTGATACTAAGTTAGAAGGTACATGTTCCTCCACTTCCACTGATCTCGATTACTCGTGTATATCGAGATACGTGTAATAATGCCAGACACTTCATTAAGAGCGGGTGTAGTGGATAAACAATCAGACATCTGATTCAGGTAGTTAGGATACATGCCTGCTGCTGGCTAACGCCTTAGCATGGTCTAACTAAAGTTATAAATACCATCACAACATATAGCTGGCCTATATGGTTAGGTGTACGTCAGCGACGGGAAAGGCCGGAGATATAGAAAGTGAACAAATTTTCTGAGACAGCGATGACTGTCGATTTTATGGGTAAGCTATAATGGAGGAATATATAAATGGAAATCTGAGGAGGCATCTATGAGCGGTTGAATGATGTCTCCAATGAAGAAAACGATGTCTGAATGAAAGAATGGTTTACCCGGATGAATTATTATTGGGACTCAATAGAAACAAAAGAACAAATCAGATATATTGAAGATGTAAAGCGCTCAGGCGAGTGGTGTTCGAGGTCGAGGATGAACTCGCACTTCTACATGTCGAAATTTGGTTCTCTGAACGATTAGACTTCACATGTTGCTTACACAGGTTAAGAGAGACAAAAATTTAACAGCGTCAGTGGTGTCGCCTACGAACCCCCAGCTCTCACTGTAGAGTCTGCAGAGCCGAGATTGAGCAACACTGTCCTCACTCCGACGAGGATTCCCAATCACTTTCGCCGTCTACAACGTCTTCACATATCAACACAACCCCATATCACCATTATTATAAAGCTAACCACGATCAGATCAGATGGCAGGCTCGAAGACCTTCTCATCACCAACCCTTGATCATGGAGGAGAAGCCATCCGATGAGTTTCCGGAGCGCACCCAGCCCCCGATACAGAGATGGTGAATTTAATCAAGTTGGCCTTGATGTTACAGAGAAGGGAGATATAGATGGTTATGCGCACCAGTTAGATACTGGTTGTCAACTACAAAATACCAGTAAAAGTATGTTGATGTAGTCTCTCTGTCTTACCAGTCTAAATGACTCCTCCGTATATACATATACGTCTCCTGAGAATATGTACATGTGATGACGAAGTGAACGAACGTCTTATCCCAGTGTATCAGGACTAATCCTCTATAGAAATATTGTGATTCTGCTTGAGAATGCCTTTCAAGCATCTGAGTAAATATACCAGACCAAAAATATGCACCATAACTCATCAAACGACGTTGATTGATCGAAGCTATAACTTCCAAACAATCCAGTGTTTAACAGCACCTCGTGTGGTCCTGATGTCTAGGCCTCTTTTTTTCGTATTGTATTCAGCTATTTAGCTATAACAACTATGTCTAGGCCTCGCCTGGCTGGGGCAGCAGATTTTTGGAGACTTTTTCCATTTTTTTGGGTAAAAAGTTTCGCGGAAAGGGTGAGTGAACTCCACGGACAAGAACTAAGATGAATGGCTATCCATCATGGGCAATATATCCATGATCTTTCAAGTAGCAAGAGAGTAAAGGAACACTGTTCAAGGTGTGACCTGGGTCACAGAGGAGTTTCAGGTGATAGACAATCTTCAACTCAAGCAGTACCTCAAAACCAGAGCAAATATGGCTGCTATTTTCGTGCAGAGAGGTTGTGCCTTAAGTGTAGGTAGTATATCTTACTCTAAACCCTCGTTACAGCCTCTTCCCAGCGGTACCACTTTTCAAAAGCCTTGATCCGGTCATTACTTCTAGCACTCACTTACCGTCCGCATTCACTTCTCTGAAAAATGTGAAAGGGTGGCCATTTTAGTCGAGCAAAAGAGTACTATGAGATTTCAGGACCCTCATAGTTTACAACGGTGATGGACTACGTGAAGCTGTAAAGTAGCCCTGAAAGTTTCTAGTCATCTTTGGATGGGATTAGAGCAATAATTTTCAAGGGACACGTTTTCCGTCTAATGCGGGTAGCAAATATCGAAAAAAACCACTGTGTGCACGGCTCCCCTAAAACAATCATCAGGGCTAGATTCAAGCTGCTGCTACCTTTCAGAAGGGTTCCAAGAGGGCGGCTGGGTTGGTGCTTTAGATCCGTATAGGTCTAGCAATCACTTTCAGCCCTTTGAGTCTCATCATGATCCCTGTGCTATCTCGGGGGTCGAGTCAAGGCGGGATTGTGTTGATATGCGGCAAAGTTTTTCGCATAAATTCTTTGCTGAAAATGGACTACTCTAACTTACTTATTGACGTTTGGCTTATGATAGTTTTAGACTCGGCTCTGCAGGTTCCGGAGTTTGTTGGAGTTCATGGGCGACGCTGCTGGGATGCGCTGAATTTTGCCCCCTTCAATCCCATAGTTCAAGTGGCAATGCTAAAATTCTGAAGTTTTTGGATAATCTCCGAAAATGTCCTCTGATATTCGATAATTGTTACTGCTAGTCAAGTGCTCTGTGGACCTAATAAACGTTCCTCACAAATCCATCTGAATGGATTTGAAATATGTCACGTGCTAAGTCTACTAACTGCTGACTCAATCTTGTTAGCGTGAAAAACTATTGCAACGAGACATGTAGCTACCCTCCATACACTTTCTTTATTACGCCAACCCATCTCCACATAAGACTATCTGTAGCCTTCCAAACTCGCATCAAGGTTATTTGCCTAATCTCAAATCCACAATTCAACCAACTTGGATACAACGATTACCCGTACACAAACATCTACCCACTGCCACTGCCCATTAATTGCCTTCACTCCAAACTACTACCCATCTCTGCGGCTTCGCACCGCAACTTCAGATCAACGCTAAACGCTTCAAGAGTCTGCCAACTCTTTGTGTCATTAACTCCAACACATCTTCCGATACATAATTGCCACATCCTCTACTGGCTTGAGGATATTCGGATCGCAAACTGCCATTACAAATCTCTAGAACGCCAGATTACCAACTAAATTTCCCAAAGATGTCTGGAAAAATTGACCAGTCACTCGATGAGATAATATCAACGCAACGCCGATCATCCAACCGAGGAAGGGGTGGTCGTCGCATCCGTCGCTCTACTCATGTCGGTCGTGCCACGCCTGTCACACCGTCAGGTGGCGTGAAGAAGATGACCAAAACTGTTAAGCATACCGTCAAGACTGTACCTATTGGACCATCTGGCACACCAAGTAACGGAAAGATAATAGTAACTGGCCTTGTAGGTTGAGATAGTCGCATAAAGGTTGATTACTGACAAAAATATAGCCTCGAGATGTCAACGAGGGTATGATTAAGGTATGTTACCAATAAGCCTTTCCCAGCTCCTGGAATTTTGTCGAATTACTTCATCTACGCCGAGTCTACTATTCACCGATAATATCACAAGATGATTTTTCCAGATGGTTCCCAGTGGTTTAGTGGATTTACCAGCAAGGCTCTGTCTACTCCATATATGCTTCAAGCACAAACTGAACAATTCTGAATTGAAATAAAGCGTTTCGCTTCTCTCAGATAATCCTGAACCACTGAAGGTAGCCTGGCAAGCACCTCATGTGGAATACTGAAGATTTTAAATTTGGTCTGGCCCAAATTTAAAGAGACATCCACTCAAACCACTTTAAAATTGGGCTACATATACCCTCAAGAGCATGTGCACAGTAGTGGGGCAATTACTGCAGCTTACAAGCGCGCATTTGCGCCGGAAAATTTACCCGGCCAAGATACCGTGTTTCGGGGTAGATTTTCCACTCCACGAGCTTTGAAAATCCCGTGCTTCGACAACGAGGTACTTTACAGGCAGTCAATATAGCTTTTCTTGCTTCATATTCGGTGTCAGAACCTTCAAATAAACTAACATTCTTCACATGATGACGGATGTGAGCTATCAGTAAACGCCTTTTCTACTGTTTTCGCAAAAGATCCAATGATGGGACTAAATTGCTCACTTCTGACGCTCATTGCTGGCTTTCTGGTCTTCTATGTAGTGTATTATAAGCTCAAAAAGCTCTGCCCACGTTAATTTTTTTTCACTAGCAATCCTCGACCTCGATTTAACGCGATACTTTATTTTATGCAATCGATTTTCAGATCACTGACAAAGCGGTCACTTAGGAATACTTCATGAAGCAGGTTGGACCCATCAAGAGGGTAGAAATATCGTACGGTCCAGGAGGCGTCAGTCGTGGTGTCGCAAATATCACATTCTCTCGAGCAGACAGTGCGATCAAAGCAGTCGAAGAGTGCAATAATGTTGCTATCGACGGCAGACCAATCAAGGTAACGAAACCGTCTAATATCTTACCTCGATGCTTATTTTATCAGATCGAACTTATCTTAGACGCTACCCGAGCAAAAGCGATTCCACCTCCAAAAGGTCTCAGCGAGAGAGTCACGTAAGTCCATGTGAATCGGTACGGCAGAGAAGCTAACTATCTGAAGCCAAAAGCCTCAACCTAAATCTGCAGCTACTACTAAATCTACAACTTCGACAGGTCCTCGTGGCAAGAAGCCCACCCGAAATGGCCGTGTAGGGCGTAGTGCCCGAGCAACTAAGAAGACTGCCGAAGAACTCGACTCCGAAATGGTTGATTATTGGCAAAACGGAAACGCAACCATTGAATCAAATGGGACGGCTGCCCCGCCTACTAACGTTGAAGCAAACATGGATGAGGATATTCTAGTAAGACAAAAGACTATGCGAATGCACTATGCTAACCCTCTGATAGTGAACATGTTCTTGGACTAGGTGAGTGGGATAAACGATTTTAAGCGGATTTTCGGAGCTACGGGTACCAAATTGAAGGCATAGCTATTTTTGCCACATGTATTACAAAATTACTATCTCGACGCGCTGAATAAGAGTTACGGGTCAGATGTGGATCTCTTGTGCAGTGGGATATTCAGTTAACTATCGCTCTCATGATCTCACGAGCAACAATTGTTACTTTTCAGAGCGTAGTGATAGATAAAAATAAATTGGGAGATTTGAGTGGTGTGTAGTAATAATGCAATGAGATTTCCAGAAGAGAGCGCTTTGTTGTGAGTCAAGAGAAGCCTTGAGCATCGCGTATAACGACATTCTGTCTGATTTTCTTGTTGAATGTTGCAAGATCTTATGAAAAGGCAAGATAGAGTAGTCTTGTAAGACTGTTTCATTCGATTAACTGTTTCAAAACTCCTCTTATGCAGGGACAGGAGGACGAACTTCAAGGAACCACCGTGTTAGCCACGATTCTTCAAAAGTAACCCATGATTCTTCTCTACCCTGAGTACTAAGTATTCTCATCAAAATTTATCAATAGTTGAGTCTCGTATTATCACGTTTAAATATGGCGGAGAGAAACGTCAGAAACAGGATACAGATTTACAAAAACACATAATGAAAGAAGATTACGATGGCGGCTACTAGAGACACTCAAGAATAATAATATGCTGTGCATGACATGTCCAAGATCATTCATTTATTACTACTCGTTGCTAACCGTAACCATTCTTCCAAGTGATACCATCTCTTGACATCACTCCATTTTCCTGAGCAGCGATGCCACCTTTCTCGGCCATGTCATCTCTTGCGACGAGCTACCGCGGGTCAGCACCGTCGTTGTGTTGTTTAAAATAAATTTGCATTCTTTAGGCGTTTAATAGGGTTAATCTGTATAGCTACAATGCGTGATAGTTATCTTTGAATATTGCAGAAGTAAATTTTTTTCACAAGCTACCCACTTAATGTGTTTACTTGATGGTATATGAATAAGGGATAATTTCTTGCCCAAGACAAAAAATCTTTTCCTGTGAGTGCTTATGTGTACAATAAATCAGGCAAGATAAGGTCATCATGTTATGATATAGACTATCAATATCGCAACCTGCTGTTAACGACAGACATCTATCAGCTAAATTTGGTCTAATGATATCTCGGATTGGTGTTTACGGTGGGGTAGGGGACAATGTGGGAAATTCTTTAAGTGGATGAGCATGCAATTGAAGTTTTATAAAGGTGTGTGTATGTATTGGAGCATCCTCATTCGTGTAGCATAGATGGAAGCGACATTGATAGTTCTAGAATGCACTCATCTCTCTGGTAAAAACGACTACGATTGTTGTTTTGGTTGCAGTCTTCTCTCCATCGACGACCGCTCGAGTCTGAGAGATTATCCAGCGTGTAGACTGACAAACTACGACGAGACATTGCTGGTTCGGGAGTCGCCACTTAGTCGAGCGACGAAGCCTTGCACGCCGTGTCTAGACAAACATTAGCCACCTCGTGGACTGAACTGGATCACGACGGCTCAGAGTTGGGGAAGGTGAAAGTGCGCGCCAGTCCACATCTTTCGGCCTCTCCATCGCTGCGCAACAGTCAGCTCATTGTGGAGGGTTGGAGTGAGTTGTCACTGGAGTCTGCGCCGCATGTGGGGCTCCCATGCTAGCCTCTGAGCACGATGCTGCAGGCCGGCTCTGGCTGGGAGCGGAGTGTAGCATAAGCTGTGCGCTCGCCGCCGAGCGAGAGAGATGGGCCGAAAGCGGATGTACTGTGAGCACGGACTCCTGCCCCCCTGCAGCGCGCTGTGCGTTCGTGTGTGGGGGTTGCGAAGTGGCTTACGGTGACTTGGAACTCAAAGCACGCCTGTAATAAGTATCACGGGATGTCTGTGGAGTTCGTTAAGTCAGATGTAAGTTGTTCGTTCTAATCATAACTGGAAACTCCTAATGTTACGAGCAAGCTAATACATGATTACATAATAGGTTCCCACTAATCTTCTCAACGCAGTGTCCCGTGACCTGGACACACAGCGCGGCGCGAGAGCTCGGCATGTAGCGCAGTTGATTCGTCGGCAAATTCGGATATTCATCTTGCATGCGAGCCTCGTGGTGCTGGTTCCCTGAGTCGAGTGGGCCGAGGTGATTTAGCGTGGCCCGGTGCACTCGCCCGTTGGCCGCCACGGACAATCATGGCTCTTGTATTGGCACACTTTATCCTGTAGCTTCCCATGTCCGCGTCGACTCAGTTCCATTCCAAGTCTGCAGTACTTTCTGGCGCCTGCCTGCTAGGAGACCCTACTGCTGGGCAAGCTCACATATCTCCTGGTGGTACTTGCAAATGGAATCCAGAGAGTGTGAGTGTCTCGCACGTCAATAGGGTCACGCCACTGATGCAGAGTGAGAGCTCGATACGCGCGGACACGTCAGATGATTTCATAAAAGCCCTGATCCATCCCATTTCTTCCCTTCCGCGCTAGTCTATCTTGGGCCATCTATTTGTATGACGCTACCATGCACACGAGCCAGAAGAGGGATACCTTAATGGAATTACGGCATACTTGTAGCCTTCGGTCCGTTTTAGGAGTCGTTGCCGAAGCCTTTTCCCCAGACTGAATATTTGCCGCACGGCCACGCAAACTCGCTCATCACTGCGCATGTGAGATGGCTTCAACACATTGTTTGTCAGCGCCGCCCTGGCTACCACTCGCCATCAGTCCCATCACGAGAACCATCAACAGCAAGCCAAGGTATTCACCCGACCTCAAATAACGGTCGAACCGTATCACGAGACGCAACACCGGGCGATGAGGGCAACGGGGGGGGGAAACTTGTGCGCCGTGGTCTCTGCGGACGTGGGAGTCTAATATTTTCTTGGAGCCAAGTTCGGCTAGATTTCACAATGCTAAAGAATTCGTACCACGAGGCCGCGCTTCGATGCTCTGCACCAAATCGATCTCTCTATTTCAACGGGATCGGTACCTACAGAAGCGTCATCAAGTCTACATAGATGACCTAGTATATCCTCATTTCTATAATCTGCCTATCGTCAGATTAGTCTCTGGCCTCAGCCGGCCTCCACATACGCGCCCACAGGGATATGAATATACGTCGGAGGATATAAATCGTGGTGCACAAATCCGGGACGCAGACTTTTGGGATGGACGCGAGAAGGACCAGGACAAGTGCACAGGATGATGCAAACAGTGGATATAATCTCAAAAGGGGGGACATCTTGGATTTTGGCGGAGATATTTACAAATTGAGCTTAGGGCGCGCCAAGACTTAGTTTTGGCGAGTGCAGGCAACACTTCAAACACCACCATGGCTAGATGGTGTAGTGGTACTTCATCTAGCCTGGTCTCTCGAGTAGATTCAGGATAGCTTGAACATGTATCCCACTCGTGACAGGAGATCGCTAGTTCGAATCTAGTGTAACGCGACCACACTTTTCGCAGTGCTGGTGTATATGGATGACGGAGACATGCCTGGATAATCCAAGGTTTTGAAATTCCATTTGGTGGATACTCACGGAGGAGGGTCGACTGTTTATGTAAGGAAGCATACTTCATGGTGGTATTTGAGAATGAAATCCAGAGTTTGATTTTCATTATATTTGGAAGAGCCCCTAAAATTCATATGTGACACTTATAATGTGCTATAGCTAGAAAGCTGAATTCCCGATAAATGATGGAAAAAAGTGGGGCCTCCTCAGGGGATAAGCTTTGAGTCATTGGCAAATGAGAGTCAAGTTTATAGAGCATTGTATACGAGGATAGTTTGTTGCTTTACTATTATATGAATTACGTTTTAATAGATAGACGCCCACGCCATATGTTCAAAACTGTTACACTGCCATTCAGGCAGAACCTGTGATACTCCTCTTTAGCATCTCTTACAAGGCTAACATACTTTCATTGATCAAAAATCATTTTGGCCGTATTCTTTCAAGATTGTTTGAGCTTAGAGCGCTAATGAACTCATCCATAATCCCCACAGGAATAAAAATTCCATCCCCGGTAATACCTCGAACAAATGGGCCAGATTTTATGGGAAATCTAAATTTGAAGACTCTCATTCGTAGTACTGTGTTCTGCCGTGCTGCATTTAATGCCTACAGTCGTTACACTGGCGATACGTGGAGGGTGTTAGGTTATAAAATTCTAGGTCTAATTCTCACCGCTTGGACGCACGCTAAGTATTAAGCCGGAGAAGAGTTAAAGTATATCTCAAAGTTAGGGTGAAATCGTTAGAATTGTGAGACTAACAGTCGAGAGCGCAGCATAGCTTGTCGCTATATGTAGATTTTTTTTTAAAATAATTATGATGATTGATAGTATAGGAAGTCGATGAATCTTAAACGGAGAGCCTGATTAAAGCGTAGAGGCCTAATCCTAGGCCCTCAGAGCTACTATATTTTTAACGCCAAGGCTATCATGGAATTTTCAAGATATGTTCGTCACTACACAAAACTTTACTGATGTCCCGGGATTTATCTTTTAGAAATTATCTTGATATTACACGCTGTTCAATTGTGACGAGAATGACTGCTTTCCTTTTTTTTTGGATGTCATTAACTTCATTTCTAATGCGAATATGCCATTCTTTCCCTGCCGCGCGCCAGTTTTAGGCAAGTGTATTGTTGTTCGACAAACGGGACAACACTTCTTTTCACCAGCGTACAAGGCCTGATGAAGGCACTCTGAGCAGAACAAATGACCTGGCATAAATCAGCCTTACATTACATAGAAGAGTTTTGTACCTACCACAGTGAGTAACCGTCAGATCCGTAGGACTGTCCATGCAAATGATACACTGAAAGTCGGATAGTTTGACAAGTTTCGGCTTATTTTCTTGACTCTGTTCTTTGGCCATAATCGCTGCGGCGTCTCTTTTCTTCTTTTCTTCCCATTGTAATTCGGTTTCGATATTTCGCAGGTCCACTGTATCTATCTCATCTTGATCCAAAGACTCAGAGAGTGATTTTACTTTTTTTGGGCTGGTAGTTCGCACAAGTTTTGTAGGCCTTGTCTTATTAGAAGAGTCGGCTGGACGTTTGCTGGTCTCTTGTAAACTTTGTATTGACGGTAATTCCGTGTCATCAAGTGTTACGGGTAGCCCACGGGAGAAAAACTCAGAAGGGGGAGGCGAAGCATCAAATAGGTCTTCATATTCAAAGATATCCCCATAGTCTGAAGATAGGATAGGAAATTCTTGTGCCGTTTGTATTAAGTTAGATGGTGGTGGTGTGTCTAGCAACTGATCATTGGATGCGGAATCTAACGGTGAATTTCGCTGGAGAGTAGCACTTGGTTCGTTGATGGTTGGAAGAGATTCTTGAGGGTCAGCGAGCCTGTCAAAGGTAGGTAGCGCTGGTGGAAATTCTGTATCGATTTCTACAGCCGGGAGAAAATGTGGTGGTATATCAGACATTTGGCTCTCGTGTAGATTTCCACCACTTCTGATATAGTTTTCCATCACTCTCAGTTAATGCATATGAATTAGGTTCACCCCAACCTGCACATGATTATACCTGTGCTTGTCGAATCTAACTCTGCGCAGATACCTCATAGAGTGTCTGGTGCAAATTTGTAGTGCTCAGTAACTTTGATGATAATGGGAGAGAATGAAGATTAGACTTGTGCTCATAGACAATCACAAACGAGTTGTTCATGGCAGGTTATCAATCATTATAAATTCAGCTGAGTACAACGTGGGGCATTTGAGTGTGTAAGGCATTATTAACGTAGTTCTATTACATGTAATTTATGTGTTGGGGATCGGCCTAGCCAGCCCTGTGACAGCCTTCTGTATGAAGTGCTTATCGCGTCTCGTGTTTTCTGTTGGACTCTACTCGCGCCCCAATCCAAACAGACAAGAGTCCCTTATTGTATAATAAGAATGCTCTTGAGATGTCGGAGTGCGAATACTATGCAATTCTCAGTGCATGATAGACACTTTATCAAACCATGCATGACATTTTTGAAGCCACCAAGGCTTCGAGCTAACCTTGTCTTGACGAGAAAAATTACTTCTCAATATAATACTTACGCTACCGAGAACACTTCTCATGAGGTATCAGTCAAAGAAAATATTTTTTCTCTATCAAGTACGGACTCATCTCTTACTTCTAAATAGTGATGCTTATTAGCCATAGAACCCTCTATCGCGAGATATAATGAGATAGGGGTACAACAGCTCAGTAGTCATGTCTTTTCTCAAATATTTCCAAAAGGTGCTCGCCCACCACCTACAAACCTGGTAGAGTTATCAAGGGATCACCTCAAGCGTCATGAGTTACTTGGGAAAAATACCGATAATAGTCCACCAATTGCTTTCGATCTTCCAGAATTACAAGGTTCCACACTTGATGAGCACTTCTACAAACTGGGTATGGATTCTGCAGAGCCCTATCTATCCTTAGCCAAACTTCTCGCTCGATCTCACGTACCGAAAAAACCGCTGAAATGGATACATAGAAGCGGATGGACGAAATATTATCCTGATGGTAGGTCGGAGGCCGTTGATACACCCAATGAAGAAATTTTATGCTTTGATACGGAAGTCTTGTGGAAAGAAAGCCCTTTTGCTGTAATGGCATGCGCCGTCAGCCCTACCAATTGGTACGCTTGGCTATCGCCATGGCTACTCGGAGAAACAGAAAATGATAAGCACCTAATACCATTAGGAGATCCAAAACGAGATCGAGTAATTGTAGGCCACAACATTGGATATGATCGAGCAAGAATTGCTGAGGAATATGACGTAACTCAATCTAGGAGCAACTTTTTGGATACAATGTCATTACATGTAGCCGTGAACGGAATGTGTACCCGGCAACGACCCATGTGGATGAAGCATAGAAAGAATCGGGAACTCCGTGATAAAATTGCTGGAGAGACAGATAGCGCAGAACTGGCAAACCTACTTGAAGATGGATCTCTAACAGAAGAGGAAGAGTTATGGGTTGGAAAGAGTTCTGTCAACTCTTTGCAAGAAGTAGCTGAGTTTCATCTAGGAGTAATCCTTGATAAAACAGAAAGGGATGCTTTCAGTGAAATAAGCCGTGAAGGAATTATAGCTAAACTCGACCGTCTGTTGGATTATTGTGCTACTGATGTGGATGTAACCCACAAGATCTTTAAGGTTGTTTTTAACAACTTTCTGGAAACTTGTCCCCATCCTGTAAGCTTCGCCGCACTAAGACATCTTTCTTCGGTAATTTTACCAGTAGACAGATCATGGGAGACATATATATCAAATGCTGAGGCAACTTACAAGAAAATGTCGGATGGTGTTCAAGAAAGATTAATATCGCTAGCCGAGAAGGCTCTTGCTTTAAAAGAAAATCCTGAAGTCTGGGAAAATGACCCGTGGCTTCGACAACTAGACTGGTCCGGTCAGGAAATCAAGATGGTCAAAGGCAAAAAAAAGGGCGATCCTCCTCGACCGGCAAAGCAGAAAATGCCTGGATGTCCTAAGTGGTATAAAGATTTATTTTCCAAAGCTGGTGCTCCTATTTCGCTATCAGTCCGTACTAGAATTGCACCAATCTTACTCCGACTATCATGGAATGGTAATCCAATGGTATGGTCCGACAAGTATGGATGGACCTTTCGGGTTCCCATCAAAGAATCGGACAGATATCCTGAGATGAAAATGCAAAAATGTTCCGATTTTGGCGATAAAGATGTTACATTAAAACTTGATACTGGGGCCGTATACTTTAAGCTTCCTCATAAAGACGGTCCGTTGGCTCGATGCGTCAATCCTATGGCAAAGAGCTACTTGACTTATTTCGAAAATGGTGCCCTATCTTCTGAATTTACATATGCCAAGGAGGCATTAGAGATGAATGCTTCTTGCTCTTATTGGATCGGAGCAAGAATGCGGATAATGTCACAGATGGTGGTCTATGAATGTGATGGAGCAAAGCGGCCAAAAGTTGGCTCGGAGGATATGACAGAAATTGGATTCATCTTACCACAGATTATACCTATGGGTACTATAACTCGAAGAGCTGTAGAAAAAACTTGGCTTACAGCTAGCAATGCAAAGAAGAATCGTGTTGGTTCAGAATTAAAATCTATGGTAAAAGCTCCTCCGGGCTATGTTTTTGTAGGTGCAGACGTAGATTCAGAGGAACTCTGGATTGCAAGTTTGATTGGTGATGCACAATTCAAACTACATGGAGGAAATGCCGTAGGTTTTATGACCCTTGAAGGAACGAAAGCAGCAGGGACAGACTTACACTCTCGCACAGCTTCTATCCTTGGAATTACTAGAAATGATGCAAAAATTTTCAATTACGGAAGGATCTACGGCGCGGGTCTTAATTTTGCATCAAAACTCCTTCGACAATTTAACCCTAATCTTTCGGAAAATGAAACCTCTAAAGTTGCAGGAACTCTCTATAAGGCAACAAAGGGAATACAAACAAGTCATAAAATTCTCCGAAAAAGGTCATTCTGGCGTGGTGGCACTGAAAGCTTCGTCTTTAACAAGCTCGAAGATTTTGCCGAGCAAGAAAAGCCGCGGACTCCAGTACTTGGGGCCGGCATTACCGAAGCACTTATGAGGCGTAATGTGAATCCTGGTGGCTTTATGACCTCGCGTATCAATTGGGCCATTCAATCCTCAGGTGTAGATTACCTTCACCTCATAATTGTCGCAATGGATTATTTAATTCGGCGATTCAACTTGGATGCACGGATCGCAATAACTGTTCATGATGAGATACGTTACCTTGTTCTAGAAAAGGACCGTTATCGAGCTGCGATGGCCATGCAAATTGCTAATGTCTGGACCCGCGCTATGTTTTCTCAGCAGGTTGGAATTAATGATCTTCCCCAGTCGTGTGCATTTTTTTCCGCGGTTGATATTGACCATGTGCTTCGAAAAGAAGTTAATATGGACTGCATAACTCCCTCACACCATACCCCCATACCGCATGGCGAGTCTATCGATATCACAACTCTCCTTACAAAACCTTCAGCTTTTCTCGACCAATCTATCGTTCCTTCTGACCCTCCAGACTATGCTAATGTTAAATATGAGCCACGTACTCCTGTAATGGAATCCCTTGTAACGGAGAATGATAGTTTAACGTTTCTTAAGGCTCAAATAACAGCTGACGATGTAGAGTTGCGTGGTATCGTTAAGGAACAGCGTAATCGAAGCGAGACTAAATCGACATCTAAATCCATAAATTCATCGAAAAAACGTCAAATCCTACCTTATAGCCAAAAATCAAAGCTGATCGAAGAGCCGACGTTAATGAGAGATCCATTTGATGCAGGGAAAAGCACTTGGAGAAAACGGAACTGGACTTTAGAACGAAATGTTAGTCATGTAGACGTGGGCCGAGTCTCGCGCCTGTAGATTGCAGGTTTTGTCTCAAATATGATCGTCTTACCGAATAAAGCATCATGAACTTTGCTACGATAAAATTGATTTATGGAGGTAGTTTTGACTACATTCATAAATTTGTATATTAACCTCACTGCTACGAGTCACAGTCGAACAAAATATATCGACCAAGGCAGCATCAAAAGATCTTCAATCTATGACTAGTTTCTAAAAGCGCTTAAGGTTGTTGAGCTATTGATCTTCATCTTTTGGAGACAAAAGATGAACTCTTAAAATCAAGTCATCCAGATTACCCGGCATATTTGACATATGAGAGCTATAGATTAACCGCAAGGCCCCTCACTGTTAGGACTTCATCTAAAATGCTCTGTCGAATTTTATCCCATGACCTCCGGGCAGATAGCCCGCTCTTGAGAATCTTGCGATAACCCCGTAACAGCGGACAGGTCTAATTAAGTAGAAACTCCTGTGGTTTTATCTTACAATTAGCTTTACCTATCATTTCATATGTAGGATATTACAAGACTAAAAACAAATATAGATTTTCATTTCCGCGGGACCAATAATGGTAACTAAGTTTAACTACAAGGTAGATAGCTTAATAAATCCTGGCTAAACGATTGTATAATATAATTTTGACTTAGAAATATTGGTAGTAATGAAAAATACAATATTCTCAGAGTACTAGGAAACTAGGGCTAATTTAGTGGGGTATAACGTATCCGCTTCACACATCTATTTTTATTTCACTTCATACGTTTGTCCTTTCTCAATTTAGGACTATCGGAAATGCAGGTCCTTTCTGCCTTCAAGCTAGTAGTATCTATGCCTCGGGTAGTGTACTCACTCCTTTGCCTTCCGTATAGCTCCCCCGAAACAGTACCACTCCTCACAAGTCCTCATTCGATCATACACTAAGAGGAGCCCTAAGCCCTTCATTATCTCCCCTCTCTAGCCAACAAAACGATAGCCATTTGCGGGTGTATGACAGCCGGGGAAAATCGCAAAAACAATCGGGTGCGGAGCTCTTATATTACCGACATTAGGACTACATCGGAAGACAAAATAATCCTTCTGAAGCACTCGAAGATATCGCCCAGCGGGGTAATACAGACTTGTGAGTACTTCGGGAAATTGACACTCTGCCTTTCCAGCCTTCTTCCAACTCTATCCCGAAGGTCGTGCTGAAATATCGAAGTCTTGATAGAGCGTGATTGCTGAATAATTGCTTAGCCCGGCTTCTTTTTTGCTATCTGGGGTGCTGGGGAGTATCGTGGACTCCTCGGCAGTAGAAGTCCTGGCCACTTACCCGATACCATAACCTTGGCGCCAACAAACATCCCGGTGTCGAAAATCTGTGAAAATTGTTAGTTACAGCATGTTCATGAAATATATCTCACCTCTGTCATTCCACGTCTCAGCTGCCTTGCATACCTCAAGTTTTACAGTGTCATGATATCAGAATACTGATGTGATAAAAGGCGGAATAGTGTTGAGCTACATTCACATGCATATACTCCAATAAACATGAGCGAAAGCCCATGCACAGCTATTGAAGTTCTCATCAGCGTATTTAGGAATATCTAGATAGGACTTCAGAAGAATTGGAATTATAGAGAAAGATCCGCTGTTACAGGCTAGTGCCTTATTTAGTTACAATCGGAGTTTATCCGGTTCATTTATCGTGAGGTCTTAGAGTACATGGCTTGGTTGGATTAAGGAGTTGTGTTAAGGATAACTCATGCACAACTCCATACGCGACGCGCGGCATTGAGTAGATGATCATGTAGTCTACATATTACTTCCCTCTTTATACAAAATATAATTCAATTTACTACACACCTTTATGCGAATAGCTAATGTGACCAGTCCCTTCACATCCGCCGATCTCTAAAATTACCAGTCCCGTATCCCTTATCTTACTCGCTTGACAATTCTTATTGTTTTTCAAAAATATCGTTTCTCACCGTCCATCATCTCAATGACGGTGACTTCGAAGTAACAGCACGCGAGCGAGAGGAAAGGATACCGAGGTAAACTCTACCTAATCTTGTCTCGGACTGATGGCTGTCTACATTTCCAACAAGTACCTGATGCAAAAAAAATCCTGTATGTTGACAGATGAATTGGTGACCAGGAATTTTCATAGGGTTCGGGGGATTTTATCGACAAGTTTCCTCATGTAAATACGAACCATTTCGAAAAATTGACGCCATTGATTTTTATCCCGTGAAGTTCCAGCCTTATCATGTCTGAGGTTACGAGTAATTCGAAGGATTCCCATCGTAGAAAGTCCCGTACGGAACACAGTGGCGGAAACGACGCGTCAAGGAAATCAGAAGAAACCGACGTACCCCTAAAAAAGTTCAAGAAAGCAACTGAAGGCGAAGAGCTTTCATGCAGAGCGTACAAGAAGTTGATATTAGAGGCCGATCTCATTATTGAAGGCCTTCGAGACACGAACATTCACCCAGTCCCAAAGGCTAGCAATGAAAGCATAGAGATAATTAAGGTCTTATAGGAAATTAAATCTATCAAAGTATCAATCGCTCAGCGCCAAGGCTCGAAGCAAGTGTGACGGGCTGTGCCCGGATTGGGACTGGTCACTAGGACCACCCCGGCTAGATATTTAAGCGTCAACGAAGCAGCGCTTACAGATACGCGAAAGGTTGCATGGGTGTGGATCCCAAGAATCCTGGTAGTCAAAGTAAGCCAGAGGCAAGATCAGGCCTACGCTAAGACAAGTAAGACGGAGTCAAATGCCAGGGAACGAGAGCAACTATCAGTGCGTAGTAAAGAGGCAAATGGTATTCAGGGATGGCGCACGGTGTGCAAAAGGTGGCGAGGAGTTTAGGGTTGTACTTAAATCATAGCATAGATCTCGTTGAAGGGACACGCAATCTAGTTTCAAGCTCTACCACATTCAAGTTGTAGTCAGGAGCCACGAGACACCGCGTAACTATTGTATCATCCAACCCTTTGTGATAATCACACACCTAGTTTCCGATAAAAATCCAGTGCACGCAAGAAACCTCAAAAATATATTTTTGAAGAAATCATCTCAGTCAAGTCAAAATGTCTGACACAGAAACCTAAAGGTCATCAAACATAACGATCCGTAGCGTCAATAAAATTCTTCGCGAATTTATGGAGGAAACCAATGCGAAGCAGGAGCTAACAGACTTAAGGATAAATGCTCAGTCCGAAGCAGCTATCCATCACATAGCAAAAGCGCAGGAAAAAAACAGCGCCCAATCCAAAGAATTGAACGAAAGGATAAACAACCTAGAAGGCCTGATGACGGATATATCAATGTCTCTCAAAGGAAAGAGCAAAGCAGACATCGAAAAAAAATCAGAAAACCCTGCTGTCGGCATCCCGAAACTTCGGGTCACGAACCCAGATTCGCCGCCCGCAGGTGAAACGTTTTCGACACCTTTCTCGACAAAATTTCAACTAAGGAAAGAAGACGATATAAAACGACGATCAAACGGACGCATCGACTTTTCCTCAACAGAAAAAGATAATTCCAGCGAACTGTCTCCCGGGGAAAGGTTCGTCAAGGAGGCGTGGCCACAGGCTCTTCTCGCTAAAGATATTATGCACGATGAATTTGCCAGCATCAAAAACAAAGTTTCTCTTCGACTGGAACTTCGCCTGGCAACTGCAGACTCGACTATATTCATCAAACTCGCAGAAATTCAATCGGCTTTCCGGATCGCCCTCGTGCCATATTGGTACTGGCCGCAACGAATTAGCATGTAAATGAGCGAAGATTTTCATTGTGTCCGAGTTTGGGTAGAAGAAAATCCATCGGTCACATGGATGATGCTTCTTGAGGCAATATTTACTACAATGCAAAAGCTCGACGCGCTACACAGCCCTCGAACTATTTTTACTCGATTAACGACCCATGAAGGCGAGGACATAACGAAGTTTGCCTCACGACTTCGCATAACATTCTATCAACTTTCGAAAAGGGATAGAGATAGCGACTATATCAGAGACGCATTCGTCGACATCGTGAAAAATGGTATGCCCCTTGTCTGGACACATATTCAACCGCAAATGAAAGAAAATTCAACCGGAGAAGCAGTCGAATTATTAACTCAAACTGCAAAAAAGAATTTCGAAATGGTCAACCAACTTGGGAGCATGTATAACAAGAACAACAACTCATAGGAACGATCATATGCTAGCCCAGAAACCACGAGATATATTTTTGAGGTTTCTTGCGTGCACTGGATTTTTATCGGAAACTAAGGGTTGGATGATACAATAGTTACGCGGTGTCTCGTGGCTCCTGACTACAACTTGAATGTGGTAGAGCTTGAAACTAGATTGCGTGTCCCTTCAACGAGATCTATGCTATGATTTAAGTACAACCCTAAACTCCTCGCCACCTTTTACACACCGTGCGCCATCCCTGAATACCATTTGCCTCTTTACTACGCACTGATAGTTGCTCTCGTTCCCTGGCATTTGACTCCGTCTTACTTGTCTTAGCGTAGGCCTGATCTTGCCTCTGGCTTACTTTGACTACCAGGATTCTTGGGATCCACATGGGGAAGAATGCAAGGTTGCGCACAAGAACGAGTCTCAGTGTTGCATAAGGATAATTGCAAGGTTGCGCATGAGGAAGGGCCCAAGGGAGTACGTACTAAGGGGGGGGGAGGATGTCACAGGAAAGAGGGTAGCCGGGGAGAATGGAGTATTCTCAGGTAGGCTAGGAGGGGAGCTTAAACGCGACGCTGAAGAGGACATAAAGGACAGAAGCCGTCGTAGACGGATTAGCTTCTCAAGGAAAAATTATCAATTCCTATTGAGTTAACGTCTTTCAAGTACTTCTGAATTCTTTAGACCTTTCATAGCAAGCACGAGAACAATCATGGGCGAAGATAGCAAGCAACTCTGAAGTTGCAGGTACCACAATAAAAATACTGGATGAGAATGAGAAGATAGAAGTCGCAAAACTCTCCAGCAAAAAGTTTGTCGGTAAAAGCATCATATTT